GCACAATGCTTTCATGAAAAAGAAGGATCGAAGGATACTTGATCCTAAGCAGTGAATTTTCCTAATCTCTACATAAACACACTAGTATTATTCGACAGGGTTGCCTAATTCCACTGTCTCTCCTCAACTGCGTCGTTGATGACATTTAATAGACAGATCTGAAGGAGTGGTAGTGAAGATCTGCTACCTGGAGGAAGGCCTTTTATTTTTGAGTATACAGACGATATCGTCTCAGTGAGAGATTAACACACCAGCCGCCCAAATAAATCGCACATAATTACTTAATCGGCAATCAATCTACTTCATTGCCATGTGTGTTTTTTTTGTGATTCATTGATTTTTGTGTGGTGCACCCCTAAGTGTTCGCTCATATTACACGAATCCTTCTACTGGCTATCAATAAGGAGATACTATCCTTATTCTTATACAGACAGTTGTAAATAATTAATTGGGAAAGAATAAGTGGGGAGTTTCTTCCATCTGCATTGCAATCCCCCCCCTCCCCAAAAAGAAAACCTACAAATTCTCTCTATGAATTGTAGGCACAAACATATAAGTATAATAGAGAAGATTTGTAGCTCAGGTGGATGATTTTGATGTGGTTGTCTTCTCTGAGCTGGATAGTTAGTTTGCCAAGCTTTCAGTGCACACACACACACCCCGCCTAATAGGCAATATCTTCAGCACATACTACTTCAATTTGTTGAAGTGAGCTTTTCGATTTCTCCACGAGTTTATCAGTCATCTCTCCAGATGGGTGACCTTAAACGTGATTGGTTGTTTTTGGAGGTTTTACAAAAGAATGGATATCCATGGAACTTCATCAAAAGACATCTACACCCAAGCCAACGTATCAAATCAAAGACCCCCAATGAGAGCACAAAGAAAAATTGCCCTACCATATATAAAGGATATCTCAGAAATCACTGCAAGACTCTTCAAACCTTCGTGAGGAATTGATGTCGCAAACAAACCAACAAAATCACTTCACTCAGCCAGCTCTGTGTCAACCAAAAGACTAAACAACGAAAGAAGATAAAACCAACATCATCTACAAAATAAATTATAACCAGTGCGAAAAACACTACATTGGCTAAATTGGATGTTCACTTCGTTTTCGTATCCATGAACATAAACTAACCGTCAAAAGAAATGACATCCACTCCCCCATTCGTATCGCCTAACTGCATACAGACAACCATGGATATCAATTCGACTGCGACAACCAGCGTTCAAATATTAGACAAAGGAAAAATTAAAAATGTTAGAGAATTTTTAGAAGCCAACCTGGTATTCCAGTGAATTGTCAATCTATAGACATATCGAGCGACATAGACAAAATTTACCAATCGATAAGAACGAAATCTCACACACACACACACACAAAGGATCAAAGTTCAAATCAAGGAAACAATCAGTTCCAATACAAGTAGCCTAGAAGGTGTGACAATGCAAAGAAAAAACCAATCACGTTCAAGTTCACCCACTAGGAGAGATGACTGATAAACTCGTGAAGAAATCTAAAAGCTTACTTCAACAACTTGGAGTAGTATGCGCTGAAGATGTTGCCTAGTAGGGTGATGAAAGCTTTGCAAATAAACCATTCAGTCCACAGAATATAACTATATCAAAAACAAGTACATATATGAGTAGTATGTAGTGGGATATCCTTTAAAAACAAAAATGAGAAAGAGTGAGCATAAACACCCACATAAACATACAATGATAAAAAAGAATAAAACGGAAAAGGCAAAAAGGATACACTAGTATCACATGCAATATGTTTAGCTCCCATTTTCCTGACTGCCTGATGAGCAGAAGAATCAGACTGTTGTTGTTCACTTTCTTTTCCAAGGGTAATTTCCACACCAGGAATACATCGAGCAGGAATGATAGGAGCAATACAACAAAAGCTATAAAGAAAAACACATAAAAAAAGGGGATGACACATACATAGATATGGACAGAAAACTCATTAGTTATTGGGAAACATCAACGGGAGTTCATTACTTGACATTTCATTCCAAAAAATTTAACTATTCAGTATAATATAATAAAATAATCAATAAATGAAACACAAAACTATTTGACTTTTGTTGAATTTAATTTTAGACTTTCGCGTCGATTGATTGGACCGAAGTGCTCGATCTCAGGTTGACATGTAGGCTTCTTGTGTAGATGCTTCGACGATGTCTGGGGCAAGCAATTAGAAGTTAATTGATGGGTGGTGACTAGCAATGGAATCCAGGACAACCAGCATTTCGTCCTATTCGGGACTCGTCACCCACTGGATGTGCCTGCATTCCGCAGTGAGTGATAATGTTCCCACCAACACTCGAACCCAGTGCCCATGGTTTCAAACGCCATAGCGTTATCCACATCACGCAAGAGGTGGCTTAAGTGATCTAATAGATAACGCTTTGGCGTTTGAAACTGTGGGCACACTGGGTTAGAGCTTCGGTGGGTGCATTATCACTCACTGCGGAATGCAGGTACATCCAGTTGGTGACGAGTCCCAAATAGGACGAAATGCGCGTTGTCCTGGAGTCCACTGCTAGTCACCATCCACCAATTAACTTCTATATTGCTTTTATATTAATTTGTTTATTAGATAAATCATACAGTCAGTGAAACGGTATTGTTATTTACTGGATGACAGTGTTTCGAATAAAATTTATTCTTGTTCAAAATCATATCGCCAATTATAATCATATGACTTCGAAACTTGAGTTTTATAGTTTTCTTTGTCCTCTCATTATTGTCGTCGTAAGGGCAGTAGAATTCTCCAGACATCTGAGACAGGTGTTGAATCATTCCTATTACACGTGTTTACAGTTGATTTGATAAAAAAAAGCTTCCATTATCAATCACTCCCTCCATCCTGCAGTCATATTCGATTTTAAAACTATCATCTTATTCCATCCAGCCTATTGTATGGTTGTGTGTAGTTACATGTAGTACTGTAGCAGAACTATTTTCCAGATTTCTCATCCTATTCGGGTCAATCTAATCTAACCTATTTATTTGACATGAGGATCATTGTAGGGTATTAGATAAACTTAATTGTTTTGTTGAATTGGCTCCAGAGGGTCCTTTAACCCAAACTATTTGTTTCTAAGTGAGTTAGTTTGTGGGTTTGAATGCCAGCTACTTTTATTCTTGCCAGTATTGTTAAGAATATCTTCGTGAGGTGTTCCTTTGGCGATGATCACACCACCGATCAGTTTATTCAATTCCTCATCGTTGCGGATGGTCAACTGCAACTGATGAGGGGTGATAAGGGTCTTCTTGTTGCCACGAGCGGCATTACTAGCCAATTCAAGCACTTCAGCGATGAGGTAATCGAGGACGGCTGCCAAGTAGATGGTGGATCCAGCACCAACACATTTAGCATGGACACCCCTGCATAACAGAAAATGCACACCACCGACTGGTAACTGAATACCACTGCGAGCACTCATGACTATTGAACGTTTAAAGAAGACAGACGTGTACACAAACTCAATTAGGATCTTGTTCAGCTAATTAAACAAAACAATTTAGGCTATCTGATACCCTGCTTGAATGATTTTCAAGTCAAATACATACGTTAAAGTAGTAGAACAGGAGCAGTCAGACTAGTCGAGCATAAAAAACTCGCAAAATCTAGATTAATTTACTCTAATGGGATAAGAAATCTAGAGAATAGTTCAGATTTACTACTCACTACATGCAATTACACACAACACAGCCATACAATAGTATAGGATAGGATGACAGTTTTAAAATATAAAATAACCACAGGATGAAGGGAGGGAGAGATTGATAACAACGGAAGCTTTGTTTATCGAATCAACTGTAAACACGTGTAATAGGAATGAGTCAACACCTCTCCATCCGGGCATCTCGAAAATTCTACTACCACGCCTACGACGATAAATAGGAGAAGACAAAGAAAACTATAAGACTCAAATTTCGAAGTTGTGTGATTATAATTGACATGATCACGAACAATAAACGAATTGTGTTCGAAACATTGTCATCCAGTAAATAACAATTCTGTTTCACTATCTGTGTGATATATCTGATAAACAAATTAGTATGGAATGGCCTACTAACACAGTGCCTAAGTTTTACACGTGTATATATTTATACTGCTTTTACTGACGTTTCGCTATATAATGCTGCTAACAGCTTATATATAACAAATTATTTATCGTTCAAAGGCATGAGATCAGAAACGTCAGAAGATATCAAAAGAGTAGTCAATATACACAAGATCAGAGTTTTCTTCAAAACATCAGACACACGCGCCACAAAGCAACCTTGTCCATATAAAAGACCAAATCCCTAAAGATTCTCAATCGTGTGCTTTTGGAAATGTGTGGGCGGTTGTTACTTCCCGGCTGCCAACACCGTGGAAGTTGTTTGATTCTTCGGGTACCTAAAACAGAGAAAGGGTTAGTGTTGCGTGACTGCAGAGTCCAGGGACAGCTGCTTGAGGCCGACCATACACAGCCTGTATGAACTGGTTTCTTGGTTTGGTTCGGTATTAGTAAACTTATGGTCCACCGTTTACGGATCACCGTAGGGTAAGTCGGGATGTACAATTTTCGGGGTCAACCTTTTCTAATCCCCTCTCTCCAGAGTAGAGAGACAGCATAGTTGGCACATGCTGGTCATCTGAGAGAACCACCTCACTGCTGTTACATCCCTGTTCTTCAGCAGCCCGACTTCGCCCAAAGACCCCCAGCATAGTGTAAAAAAAAATTCTTACACAATCCCAGTAACTGCATTTAGTCTAATCGCTATTCTAACAACCTTACTTGCATGGTAGGACCTGCAGGAACAAACACTGGTTCCAGCCAGTGTAGCTTCTTGGGTCATCACGATGTGCGCACTTCATATCAAGTGGAATCCAAATTGTTTGAATAGGAATGATGGACTAAAACAGAATTTGACCAGGTTACAACACCCCCCTCCGGCCTCATGAAATCAAAACATCAACACGAGTATGATAACCAATTTCATTATGTAAACACAGGCTGTTTTTTCTATAAATTTATACCCTTACTAAATCCAACAATCTACACTCAGTTTTGTTATGATTAAGAATTGGTCAACTTCACGAAAAACGTAAAAATTACCTCATACTGAGGAACGATGATTAAGTTGTTATATAACTAATAAAATAAAACACGTTGTTCAACGAAGAGTCTCTTTTCGGCGGCGAATTCATTTTCTTAGCTGTACAACCGCAAATATGTATATGCGTGTTATTTTGTATGTATGTGTACATTAAGTTTGTCAAACAAAAGTAGACAATTGGTCAATTGGTTATTTTAACTAAACAGCTGAAGATTGATTGTTGGAGTTATGTAATACAAAATCGGTCAGGAAAATTAGGTGTTAATGTTACTAGGGTAGTAACAAATGTAGGTGATGAGTTGTCACAAACAGTTGTTAAAAAGGAAGTTATGTAATAATAATATGAATAGTTTAGCGATTGAGTTTTCCTCAGGATACACATAGGAACAAAGAAGAGAATACGAAATTACATAAGAGTTCTAAATGAATAGAAGAATTTATAAGCAATTAAAGAACAGGCAAACAAACAAAATTAAGTAGTCACTAAAAATCAACAAAGTTGTTACCATGACAGTAGAAGTGGTTGAGTAATTCTCTTTTGTATGCACACCTCCGGTTTTTCTTTATGAATGGCCAGAGCGCTTCAGCGATATAAAGAATTCGCTGGTGAAAAGAGACTCTTCACTGGACTACATGTCTTGTTTTCATTATTGCCTGAATGGAGATTATGAATTAATTATATATATATAATATGCTGACATTCTGTAAATTCTGGTTTAATATTGCTACTATGATAAAGTGGTTGGCAGCGCTAAATAGCGAGACGTCAGTAAAAACGAAAAATATCGTTTTGTTTTTCATTCATTCACTGGGAAATACGAAAAGCCTTTTATAATGGTATCGAACTGAACAGATGTTAACAGGCTGTTTAAGAAAAAAAACATGTCAGAATCATCTGAGAACATCAACCATCATAGTAACTAGGTCATGCAGTTGGGTGTACATATACGTCGGTGGTTCAAAAGTAGGTTGCCTACTAACCACACAAGTGGTCGACCGGGTATTTTTTTTGTTATTCCCGGTCGATGTAGTGTACTAAAACCTCGTCTAATTTACTAGCCGGCGTTGAGAATCCAGATAAGACGGTGAGTCAGGTGTCAAGCTAGCAACGCGAGCCCGTCCAAACAGGACCAAGACTACTGAAACCTTAATGTTTGAAGCCATATGTTACACTCAGAACGATATATATATATATGTCTGTCTGGGTTCAACATAGAACTTGGCACCGAAGTGCACCAGTTCGAGTTGCCACCTTCCAAATAGCACACAGAGGTAGACAAGAAGATGAGTGAAGAGAATCAATAGAGTTTGACAAATATAAGAGTGAAACAGAATGGGTAATTGTAGAAAGGAATATGAAAGATTACAGAGACTGAATACATCTGCGCTGGCCATTGACAACGATTTTGAGCCATGTCACCTATTGTCTCCAGCCGTTGATTCCTAGAGTCCCGAGGGCCCCAACCCGGGAGTCTGCATCTCCCTACCTGACTCAGTTTAACTGTCAAGGATTTCATGGATTGATGCCATGTTTTTGTTTGGCCACCACTGGCTCTTTTCCAACCTGAGCTATATATATATATATATATATATATAATATACAATCAAATGGCCCTAACAGACTATAGTGACACAGGGATCGACTTGTCACCAGGAAATTGTTTCGTCTACTAAAAGTATGCCGACGGTATTGGTCTTTTAAGTGTGAAAATGCTGACAAAATGCAGAGTCTTTTGAACACCTACAACAGAAATCATCTTAGCGTGTTCACACCTGTTAAATATCAGTTGATGCTGATGGAATAGACTACAATGAGTCCTAGTTTAAAGATAAAGAGTATAATTGGTTGACCATCTGGAATATTTTTCACTAGTTTGAGAAGTTGCATCTGCCTTAATTGAACCGACTATTGAACTGATGTGTACCGGTTCCAGTTGCCACACTCGATGTAGTACACAAAGTAAGAGACGACAGTAAACAGAGATTTAAGGGGGAGAGGGGGATAATAAATAGAAGTGTAAGTGAGGGAAAAATTATACAAATATGCAAGAACAGTAGAATTTTATTGGATGGGATAAATGACAAAAAGTGAAGGCATCTATGCCAACCATTGACAACGATTTTTTTGCAAGTCATATCACCAACTGTCACCAGCCATTGGATTTTAGCATCCTACGGACCCCAACCAGGAAGTCTACACCTCCCTACGTGGCTGTCTCAAACTAACTGTTGTGAATTTGACTGACCGATGAAGCCATGTTTCGGTTTGACCACCACCACAACTAGTTAACTCTTTTCCAACTTGTTCCATCCTATGTCAGTCAGCTAACACTGCCCGTCCACGAAGACGATCGATGGCTAAGCATGCATGCGTAACACATGATCCAGTCATCTCAATCGATTTAACTTCACAACTTCATCGATTGATTTCCCGTCCTTACCTAATACTAGACCGACGCCTAACATCAATATTACCTTAATACACCTAACACGGGAGATAGAAGGCTGACACCTATGATCAAAGACAGGTAGTCAGCCCTCTCATATCTCCTACTTTTACTAGTCATGTCTTACATCCATTAAGGAGGACGGAGAGAACCGCCAAGTTGAGCAGTACGCACATCTATTTGATAGATAGCCAGCCAGCCAGCCAGATATCATGTCTAATAGGCCAGAGGTGGAATAATTTAGCAAACGCCAAACGAGCTTTCTGTATCTGTGCTGAGATTTCGTCAGCTATCCACCCGTTGGTTCTGGGGCTGATGCAACTTCCCAAATAGGTGAAGTGGTCAACACGGTCCACCAATCAGTTCACTTCCTATCTATTTTACTCAGACGGTAAGTTGTCTCCACTGCCTTTAAACACCTCTGGTCCCGCTGCTTTGCCTCGTTTCAGACTAGTTGTAGCCTTTGTAACCTCAGTTAGGGGTGGAGGACCTGTTTTAATATCCCGTTCAAGGAAGTGTTGGATGGATGCTGGGTAAGTTGAGCCTGGTTGTGGACCAATTAATTGCTCCTCAAAGTGTTCTTTCCAACGTTCCAGTCAACCAATCCTGAGAGTTAATTATGGCACAATTTCTCACAGAAATTGTTTCACTTATCATTCATCTTTTGCTACCTGTTTCCCTGGTAAATCTAAATAGTTGTCTAGTGTAACCACCTATTACCGATGCCTTCTCTATCTCTTTCGCTATATATTCGTAGGATCAAAACTGAAAGAAGTGTAAGAATATTCAACGGTAAACCCAGTTGGTTCGAAGTTACCATATGGAAAGATTAGAGTTAGGGTCAGGCTACAGGAAGACTATGGGGTGTATATGGTTAGGGCCAGGCTAAGGAAAGATGAAAGTCAAGGGGTTAGGTTAAGGCGTGACCAATACAAAATCACAAAATTTCATGCCGGATCGGCCGTGGCCCGGATTAACAACGACCGCGCTTCCTGCTGCCGTGTCACAGGGCAGGAGTGATAAGTATGCTACTGAGGCACACCAAACAAAAAAAAACGAACAAAAACAGGCCGCGTGTGACCGGCCTCAAGCAGTTGTCCCCTGGGCTCTGCGGTCACGCAACCAACTTCCACGATGTGGGCAGCCGGGAAGTAACAATCGCCCTCACAATCCGAAACGCACGCGAAACCTCTAAGGCGTTAGCTAGGGGAAGATTAAAATCACAATGGAGTAAAAGACTCCCAAATCGCCTATGGAGAACGAGTGAATGTTCCATGATCATGTTGGCGATTTCGTTCCCTCGAGTTTTCCATGTTTCTTGAATATCTTTCTCCCTTTAAAGTCAGTCTATTTATACTACTTGCACCGGTTTGTAAGTAGTATGCATCACGAAAACAAATAAAATTACAGCATGACAGGAATTAAATTTCATTTGTCAATAATATTCAGTAACTTATTTTAAATCACTTAGTTGTATGAAGACTTATACTTCAAAAAAAGGGACTGACTGCTCGAACAGACTGATATTTGTAACAATGAATACAATTCATACCTCGACTTGGTGCATCATCATTAAGTCAAGGAAACAATCAGTACCATTACAAGTAGCCTAAAGGAGGGTATGAAAACACAACAAAAACAACCAATCACGTTCAAGTTCACCCACCAGAAGAGATGACTGATAAACTCGTGGGGGGGGGAATCTAAAAGCTCACTTCAAAAAATTGAAACAGTATGCACTGAAGATGTAGCTCAGTAGGGGGGGGGCAAATAAACCATCCAGTGAGCTCAGAGAACACAACCACATCAAAATCATCCACCTGAGCTACAAATCTTCCCCATCATATCTAAACCCCCATAATATTTGTTCTATTTAAACCAAAGATAAAATAGGAGAGATATATAATTCAGGACCATAATTTTACAGCGATGCTGACTGGCTTAACTAGGGGGCTATGGACTATGTGCGAACAAGCGAACGAACTTAACAATAACAGACATGAACCTTCAGCTCAACGAGTCAAAATTCAAACGGTGAATTCGAGCATCCACTGTTGAACGATGAATGCTGTATGCTAACCATTTTAGGGAATAATTTTTTTTTGATTTACAGCTTGATTCCACACTGTATTTTCGGTACAAGTATGGAATTTTCAGCATGGATATCGGTAGCCCAAATTTTGCAGGCCGACCATAGATATCAGGTGTGCGTCGGTGCGGGCTCGAACCCCGGATCATGTGCATGGTCGGCGAGAGTCCTAACCACTGTGCCACCGACGCACCGCCAGTCTCTTTATCTGGACAGAAAGGTAACACCATCATCTATTGCACAATATTTATTATTAATGTCTGATTATGAAGTCAATATTAGCAGTGATTGTTTCTAAGCTATTTTAATAGTACTTAGTTTTAATTTAAGGTGATTAAAGGCGATGGTTGGACTCTCGACTAGTCACGTACACTGCTAAATCATGTGTTCATTGGACAGCATATTTCTGCCTTGACCTTCTCTCTGGAAGACATAATCTACTAAAATAAGGTAGATTTATTAATACGTTCTTATATTTCATCACACACGTTGTTATTTATGTTATTTATGTAACACAAATGTCAAGAAATAACTAAGAGATGATACTGTCATCATTTTTTAATTGCCTTCTTAAACATTATTTTACTCGCATCTATCTACCTGATGCATAAATTTATTCCATATCAGTTTGTTTATTAGAAATATCATACAGTCAGTTAAACAGTATTATTTATTGGATGACAGTGTTTTGAACACAATTCATTATTGTTCATGATCATATTAATTATAATCACACAACTTCGAAATTTGAGTTTTATAATTTTCTTTGTCCTCACCTATTTGTCGCCTTAGGGGTAATAGGATTTTTTAGATATCCAGCTGGACAGGTGTTGAATCATTCCTATTACACGTATTTCCAGTTGATTCTCCCTCCAGTCTGCGGTTGCATTAGTTTTAAAAACTGTCATCTTATCCTATCCAGTTGGTTGTGTAATTGCATTTAGTGAGTGGTATACCTGAACTATTCTCTAGATTTCTTATCTTATTCGGGTCAACTAATTTATATTTTACTGCTAGGTTTTTATGTTCGGCTACTCTGACTGCTACTGTTCTACTACTTTAACGTAAGTATTTGACTTGAAAATCATTCAAGCAGGGTATTAGATATTTTTATTGAA